ACAAATCTAGTACTTAACCTAATATATTGTGGATATGCATTTTTAATATCCAATATTTAAACGTTTCTTTTAAAATTGTTATTAGAAAAGTAAAAATTAAAATATTTTAATATTAAAAATATCAAAAACATCTAATTTTAACTACGTAATTAATAAATTTTAGATAAGATTGACATTAGTTTCACTCATCTTGTAGTTACGATTTAACGTTATAACTATAAACCCCTCAAATCTAGTACTCAACTTGATCCTAGTTTCATTTTATTGGGCCTGCTAGTAAACTTCTCCTTATGGATTTTGCTTACTGGCTGGGTGGGTTCTTTTTGGCCCATATTGTAGCCATATTGGGCCCTCTAATAACGACTTCCACTTCTTTGGCATCCAGCCTCGTCATGATTGATTCAACCATCCATGAACTTCACGATTCATCGAGGGCAGCGCACTTTCCATACAGGTGTCTGATTTTCTCTTTCGTTAAACTTTTATTTTGGCCACTCAATTTTGGTAAAGACTTCTAATTTGATCTCTACATTAAATCAATTTATTTTTAGTCCCTAAAATTTTAAATTTCAGCTATTATTATTCTTTTGTTAAATTTTAACTTACATGTCACAAATTGATGGCAAAACCTATTTTTTCTTGAAATTAATAGTGTGAAAATTTTACATGAAAATGAAGGAAAATGGGTCAGGCCTGAAGTAAAGAGGCATGGAGTGAACTGAATCTTTGTTGCTCTTTTTTGTATAGTAAAATAAAATAAAATTGGGTTATTTAACCATCAAAGTGATTTACCCTTACAACATTATATGCTAAGGAACTAAACAGATTCAATTTTTTAAAGGATTTTTAACATGTAGGCTTACCCTTCCAATATTATATGTTAGGGCACTAAATAAAATCGAATTTTTAAAGGCTTTTTAACATGTAGGCCTACCCTTACATCATTATATGTTAAGCTACTAAATAGATTCAATTTTTCAAAGAGTTTTTAATATGTAGGCTTAGGATGCATTAATTGTTTTTTTTTTTTTATTAATTTGTATGGAAAAAATTTTAAGTTGATTTTAATTTATTAATCATACAATTAAAAACTTTCATTATGTGAGATTAACTCAACATTTTTCTTACTAATGTTTTCTATATTAACAAACACAAAAAAATTAATAATTCAACATAATTTTATTACAAAATTTATCAATTTTTTATATAATATTTTTAACTTTTTATATAGTATTTTCTAAATAACTTTCTCAATAAAATTTTTTTAAAAAAATTAATTTTTAACCGAATAGCCCTTGATATCTTGTCTCTCAACACATTACATTACATTACACTTTATTAAAAAAAGACACTTTTTTTTTGTACTTAGAAGAAAATTCATAATATTAATTAAAGGTACATAGTGCCAATTCAATACAAATAGTAAATTAATAATATGCCTTATCATGACAAAATATAGAAATATTATAAAAGATAACAGAATTATCCATCAAGAAAAAACAC